GGGGGAGGGATGGGGGGGTGTGGTGTGTGTAGGGGGGTGGTAAGCCAGCCCCAGCTAATGGCTGGGGCCAGCTTTTTCAAGGTACGAATTCAGATTTGAAGGTGCCTCCCCCCCTTCTCTTTTCCTTCCTCAGAGAGAGAGAGAGAAAGAGAGAGAAAGAAAGAGAGAGAGAGAGAGAGACCTGAGCCAGCAGGTCAACTCAGGTTACCTCAACAGGTATAAGAGAGAGAGAGAGAGAGACCTGAGCCAGCAGGTCAACTCAGGTTACCTCAACAGGTATAAGACCTCCAGGGGGTTGAATCTCAGCAAGCCAAAGCAGGGCCTCTACCCAAAAAGGTGGGCTCCCTAGGGGGTCCTTAAGTATGGGGACTTTAAGGAGGAAGAATCACATCATATCCCCCAGATAATTCAAGCATCAGACCCTTCATATTCTGGCCCCTCCCAGGGTCGAAAGCTGTCCTGTCTTCTACCTTACATCCTTAAGATTCTCTTGCTTGCCTGCTATGCATAGAAGAGAAGAGCAGAGGTAGTGGTGGGGGCACTCCATATACCCAGTTAGGGCCACAATTGCCCCTTTAGACACCAGCCCCTATCTGAAGCAGGAAATGCAGGCAAAAGCTTGGCTGGGGGCTCTGAGAGCAAAGCTGCTTATGGGGACTAAGAAGGAAAGGACAGCTTGTGTGTCCCTGGCTTCTGCCTGGGCTGATCCAGGATGTTTCTTCTTAGGTGACTATTTGCATCTGAGTTGAAGGGAACTGGAGCAGACCTCTTACTAGTCCCACATACCCCCCACCCTATAGAAAATGCCAGCTCAGCCTGGCAGGGGTCCCCTGGCTTCATGGCATCCCCTTCTTCCCCAGGCAGACTTCCCAGGCCAGGATGTGGAAGGGAACTGTCAACAGACCGCCACATTTTCTCTGGGGTTTTCCCCCATACCCGAGACTGAACAAATTTAATTCTAATAGATTAAAGAAACTTAGTCCATCAGCACCCTTCCTTGGCCATAAGTGTGTACAGTTGTGTGGGCTTAACACAGAAAGAAAAAGGGAGAAAATGAGGGAGCCATGTATGTGTGCCGTGTGCATATGAATGAAAAAGATGAATAGAATTTTTCTGGTCCTCTCACTCCACGGTTTGTGAGGTTGTTAACACAGGGAAATCCTGGCACACACCGGGGATACACACATATTGTATGCGCTGCTACCTTCTCACCTTGAGTCCTGTCAAGTGCATGCTAACTGTAAGCTAGCATACTTCCATGCCTGGAAGCATCCCTGTCACCTCACAGACACTGTATGCACACGTGCACACTCAGGCGCACATGCACATATGCCTGACAAACACAGAAGCATCTCTAGGTGTTTGCATCATGAAAGAAAATTGCTACCTATTTTTCTTCTACATCCTGGGGTTTCAGGGTTGGATGAGGAAGGAGGTGGTTAGACAACCAGATCTTTTCCTTCCCCATCCGGATCCCAGCTCTGAGGATGGAGGAAGGAATAGTGGTGCAGAGCAGGGTGGTTTAGAAATAATGAACTCCCTCCTCCCTCTGTTGTCTAAATAATTACTGATTACTGGGGAAATGGCCACTCCCTGACAAATTCCCAAAGGAGAGTCACTGGTGCAGGCAACAAGAGACCATTCTAGGATCCTCTGCATTTGGGGAATCCCACTCCCATTTAAGTTAGGGACTGCCCAAACTCTTAGACACCCAGAACTCTGGCTCTAGAGCAGTGGGAGGGAAGGGTCAGAGGAGGGCCATGCCAGGGCCGCAGGGCTCCCTAGGGTTCAGAACGGGGGTGTGTGATGACAGGGTATCCCCACTACCAGAACCCAGCCCGCTTCGGCCATGGCTCCAGTCCTGACTTTTCTGAGCCTGCTCTTTGGGTGCCGAGATGAACAGGGTGGACTCTGGGCTCCCAGCATCTGTGTCACTGGGGACTGTCATAAATACTTTCTCTTCCTTGCCTGGAAAGAGCAAACCCAGAAGGCTGGATCCGCTCTGGGGCCTGCGCCTTATCTTTTACGGGGTGGGGTGGGGTGGGGTGGAGGGATATTTCGACATTTTATGGTCTAGCGAAAACCCTGCCACAGAGCTATTCTTCAGGGCCTTTGTGTCTTGGAATGCAACTGTCCTGAGTGTGCCGCCACCGCCGCCTGCCCGGAGAACCCACTAGTCCCGCAATCCCTGGTCGGACTTGGTTTCCCCTTTGGGGGTGCCCCTCGCCTTTCTTTCATTTGGATTTTTTTTTTCTTTTACACGTATCCGTTTTATTTTGCTCCCTGGGCCTGGAAATAAAGGAACCGAAAGCAGCCATCCTCGCCGAGGCCGTCTCTGTCCCTCTCCCCGAGGCCTGCACCGCCCTCATAGGTACCACGGATTTATGTTCGTTTGTCCGGGTCATTCTGCCTTTTTGTGTTAATTACGCGCTGCCCGCTTCGCACTTATCTCCTCCGCAAAGCGATTATTTTTGATGCCCAGCCTCCTGCGCCTTCCGAGCCCGCTGCCAGAGCGAGGGCCCATCTCTCGCTGCCACTCGCGAATTATTTACACCTCGCAGGTGAGAGGATTGATTCGCTCAGAGCCAGTGGGGCCCGGCCGGTCGAGGCGCCGGGCCTCCTCGCCTCCGCTCGCGGTCGGGCCTCAAATGTCAGTGCGGCCAGGCTGCCCCGGGGCACCGCCGCTTCTAACATTGAGCAACAGCGCCACCTCGCGTCCACTTGCTCCAATGCAGTCCGGCTGGGAAAAAGCCAACAGAGGTCCCAGGCTTGGCCCAAAGGTGGGAAGGGGGAGGAAGGAACCTCCAAATCGGTGCGAAGGAGAGGGATTCCCCGGAAGACGGTTGCCCTGGGGCCTTTGTTCTTTTGCTTTCTAAGTTCTTGAAATAAACCTTGTGAAAGGTTCCACACTGTTTTCTCTTTTTGTTACCCTCCCTTCTCCAATTAAGAGACATTGTGCAAAGGAATTGCCGCTATCTCCCCGCATTCAGGCGCATTTCTGAGCTTGGAACACCTCCGCACACGCGGAGGCACGCTCTGAAGCTCCCACGACCGCCTGCCCGCCGCACGCACCCTAAAGTCTTCACTCCTCTTACCCTGATGCTGGCCCCGCACCGCCTATTCCGCCGCCGCCTGCAGGACTTTGGGGTGGGACTCTGACTTCAGGCTGTTTGCCCCCTGGTTTGTAGCCCATCCCTCTCTTGCGCGCGCTCTCTCCACCTCTCTCTCCCAGCCAGTGAGGTCCTGTTCTCCGTGGGCCATAGACAAAACATTCCTATAATCCGATTTCAAAGGAAAGAGTGTCCACCTTATTTAAACCATAAAACAATTAAGCCCAGACGTCTAGCCAGCTCCGCGCTGCTGTTTTGTTCGGCCCCATTCAGAACCCAGAGCAGGGAGACAAACAGCGCCATAAAAGTGGCATTTCGGGGCTGCGGAAATGTACCTATCCTCTGCCTTCCCAAGTGGAACAACCTTTAGGGTTTTGTGATTTTGACAAAGGAGCAGAGGAGAGATGGGAGGGAAAGATTAGGGGAGGAGGGCATTTGCTAGCCCCTCTCTCCCCCCAGCTTTTATTTCTTTCCCCAGATGTGTGTCGTGTTGTTTTAATTCATAAGTGATAGCGAATAAAAATCGAATCCAATCCTGACCTGCGGGCTGGAGACTGGGCTGGGATCGAACAGCGGGCTAGGCTGGGTGGGCCTGGCTCTGGAGCCCATGCTCTCCTCGGGGTCCTCCAAGCCCTGAGGACCTCCTTCCTGCCCACAGTAAGGCCGGCTCAGGCGGGCTGCAGGAAGCAGGCCGCGCTGACGGACACCGAGGGGAGGCGACAGGGCCTTGGAGCAGGGGCGGGGTGGAAGCCCGGAAACGCCGCGCTCAGGCTGGGAGAGAAGCCCGAGTCTCCAGCGGTCCAGACCGGAGGAGAGAGGGGTATCTTGCCTCCATGGGGTGCAGAACTGGGCCAGGGTTCCAGAACAGCAAATTGGCCAAAGGAAGGAGTGAAAAAGTGAGGAAAGAGAAAAAATTATAGGCAAAGCACCTTTCAAAAGGACCAGAAAAACAATGCTCTGGAATTGGAGAGGAGGTCTCCTAAGCCAGAAAGAGGAGCGGGTGCTTCAGCGACTTCTAAGTCCCTTGTTACGACCAGATTCACCACCCCCACAATATTATCGAAACAAAATTTTCACCCCTTCCCCCCCTCCTCCAGCCCCCAAAATTGGAGCGTTTAATGGAAGGAGTGGGTAGGAGATTCAAATGATGAGGAAGGGGCTGGTCTCTACAAGTGTCTCACCAATCGTGTAAGGGGATGCTATGGGGGGAGCAGCACACGGGCTGGGACCCTCACTTATTTTCGTTAATGGAGGTATCCCCCAAGTATTCAGAGCAACACCCTGCACCCTCGGCAGAATGGGCAGCTTGAGATATTAAAGGGCTATATTTCAAGCAGTCTGATTTTAATAGTTTCCAGATTGGGGGATTTCCGAGAAAAGGGGCGCCAGGCTGAGGCATACCCAGCTTGTGTCTGCTTCTGATTAGCAGATGAAAACTGCTGGTTCTAGGAAGGCGCTCTGGGGTGCAGTGCAGCTGACC